AGCGAAATCAAACTTGAGAAAGAACAGAGCTGGAAGCATTACGCTTCCTGATTTCAAACTATATTGCAAAGCTGTCATGATCAGAACAGTGTGGTACTGCATAAAAATAGGCACATAGACCAGTGGAACAGTATTGGGAACCTAGAAATAAACCTGCACACTTATGGTCAAGTATTCTTTGACAAGGGTGCCAAGACACAAGGGGAAGGATAACCTCTTTAACAGCAGTGCTGGGAAGATGGATAATGACACACAGAAGAATGAAGCTACACTTATGTCTCTACCACTCAGAAAAATTAACTTGAACTGGATCAAAGACTTAAATGTAAGACCTGAACCCATAAAATGACTAGAAGAAAACAGAGGAAAATCTCCCTGATGTTGGTCTTTGCAGCGATTTCCTGGATATGACCCCAAAAGCAAACATCAACAAGTGGGACTATAGCTAACTCAAAAGCTTCTGCATGGCCAAAGAAACCATCAACAAAATGGAAAGGCAACCCACAGAATGGGAGAAGATATTTGCAAATCATATGTCTGATGAGGGATTAGTATCCAAAATAAATGAAGAACTCCTACAACTCAATAGCAGACAACTAAATAATGGGATTAAGAAATGGGCAGAGGAACTGAATGACATTTCTCCCCAGAAGACATCTGGATGCCCAGCAGGTACATGAAAAGATGCTCAATATCACTTGTCACAGGGGAAATGCAAATTATAATGAGTTACCATCTCACACTTGTTAGAATGACTTTCATGAAAAAGACAAGAGATAACAGGTGTTGGTGAGGATGTGGAGAAAGGGAACGCCTGTGCACTGTTGGTGGGAATACGGACTGGTGCAGCCACCGTGGAAAACAGTATGGAGGGTCCTCAAAGAGTTAAACCTAGAATTTCATATGATCTGGCAATTCTACTTCTGGGTATTTATTTGAAGGAAATCAAATCATTAGAGATATCTGTCCTCTCTTTCTCGTAAAAGCGTTATTCACAATAGCCAAGATACGGAAGCAATCTGAGTGTCCATTGATGGATGAATGGATAAAGAAAATGTGGTATATAAATGACGGAAGATTATTCAGCCATATAAAAGGGAAATCCCGCTATTTGGAACAGCATGGATGAACCCGGAGGACACTCCGCTAAGTGAAATAAGTCAGAAAAAGACAAACACTTTATGGTATCACATGTATGTGAAATCTTAAAAAACCCCCAAATACCTCAAACTGAAGAGAAATGGAGTAGAATGGTGGTTTCCAGGGTTGAGCGTGGGGGAAATGGGAAGATGTTGGTCTGAGGGCATGAACTTTCAGTTGCAAGATGAATGAGTTTAGGGATCTAATGTACAGCATGATGACTGTGGTTAACGGTACTTTATTGGATACTTAAAGTTTGCTAAGAGAATAGATCTTAGGTATTTTCTCCCTCTCACACACACGCACGGGTAATGTGATGGATGTGATAATTAACGTGATTGTGGCAAATATTTCACAATGTAGACATGTATCAAATCCTCATGTTGTACACCTTAAATATATACAATTTTGTCAATTATAGCTCAGGAAAGCTGGAAGCAAACAACAAAGCATGAGCTGCTGTGCTGGGGAGAGACTGGTGGTCAGAGTGCACATGCACACCTTGTCCTTTTGGGTGTGTGCAGTTTAGCAATGCATTTCGTTGGGGAAGTTCTGGTGCTTTCTGCAGCTTCCCTTCTCCCTGGAGACTGCACCACATGGAGTGGCAGTCAGGGAGGGAGGGCCCCTGCCATGTGCACCGGCTTCTGAAAGCGGACACAGGGCAGATAAGACCTGAGGGGTCGTGCAAGGACCCCAGGCTCCCATCACTAGACATGCAGAAGATCAGTGGCTGTTTCGTGGAGCACGGTGAAAATCCAGCCAGCCTGTGTGATGGAAGGTGTTATCACCATGCAGCTCGTGCCCGATGGGCACTCCGTCGGTATCAGCTGCCGATCTCCGTTCCCACCACTGTTACAAGAGGCTGGTGATTCTCAACAAAGGACACCGTCCTAGATGAGCTTGGTGTAGTGGGGGGAGATGGACACAGAGATTGCTGTGAAGTGAGGGGTAGTGAGATGAAGGCTAGGCAGAGGAAGGCAGGCCAGGGGCTTCTGGAACGCATTAACCCAGACTAGGAGGAGCGACAGGGCTTCCTGGTGGAGAAGGTGGTTGCCGCCTTCAGTCTTGGAGAAAGAAACATGTCAGCTTGATGCAGAAGGGTGTGTGGGAAGTTCTAGACAGAGACAGGGGAGCAGAGCCAAGGGGGTGTGTGGAGATGGTGTGAGTGACGCTCTGGGTCGGGGGGACGGGAGGACGGGGTGGGGCCGGTGGCGATGGCATGGGGGATGTTGGATCTGTATTGAGGAGCTGCATTTTGTCTGTAGGCGAGAGGATTGGAAACCTGGCCTGGACTGTGTCCACTTTGGGCGTTTATAGATGTTGGAAAGGCCACGTGTGGCTGGGTGGGGAACCGGGTGGAGATGGGCCATCGCTGGACCCGTCACCCTCGTGGTTTCCCCAAGGGGATGCTTACAGGACCACACGCAGTTGCACCCAGGAAAGCATGGCCCGCAGGGCCAGGCACACTGCCGGAGGTTGTCCGCTGCACCGCTGCTTCTCTAAGGAAAACCTGAGGGGCCATCCATAAAACTTGGGGGGTCGCCTGCCTACGTACTGGAAACAGTGGGTCCACCTCTCGGGATCTCCACCTTCGTGCCTGGGTGGTTTACGCGAGGTCGCTGTGATTAGTTAACCCTTGTGAATGTAACGGCTTTGCCCTCTGATGGCCGTGGGCTCTCTTGTGTCTGAGTCGGCCGTCCCGTCCACCACGAGGGTGTCACACCACTTGTGACCTGGCCACTGACCAGAGCCCTTTCCGGGCTGAGCTCGCCCACCGTAGCGAGTACCTCCTGCTGCTCGACGAATTACTCCAGAAGTTAGTGCCCTGCGTGGTGGTAGCACCTGTCATTTCTCACTGCTTCAGTGGGACGGGAATTTGGGAGTCACGTGGCTGGGCAGTGCGGCTCCGGGCCTGTTGAGAGGCTGCATCATCTGAAGGCACGCCCGGGGCCGGAGCGCCCCTCCCAAGGGGGCCCCCTCACAGGGCGGCAAGCTGGTGCTGGCTGTTGGTGCAAGGCCTCAGTTCCCCCACGTGAGCCTCTCCGCCTGGCTGTCCTCAGCAGGGCTGGCTCGAGAGGTCGGGGCGGGGGCTGCAAGCCCTGCGTTCCACCACACTGTCTGGTCCCACAGACCAGCCCCGAGCCACCATGGAAGGGACTGCATGCGGGCGTGGGCGCATGGGTCACTCGGGCCCTCTTGGAGTCTGACGGCCATGAGATTTGTGCCCCAGTCCCGGGCTGCGAGCGGACCAACTGCCCAGCTTGGTGTGTGTGCGTGCGCAGAGCATCCTCTGGGGCCAGGGGAATTCTTCCCTGCATTTCTGCTGATTCTTGCTTACTTGAAGGCCAAGGGCCTCTGACGATGTCCACTCTACCTCGGGATCTCTCGCTGGCCTCCAGACCTGGCTGTGCTTCTGGCCGCCTTTCTAGTCTGGCACGGATGCCCCTTTTTATTCCAAAGGCAAGTCTATGTTGATTAGAAAGTCACTCATCGCCTTTGTGCAGTGCACCCATTAGGAGATGTAGAGTAAATATTTGTCTTTGTGAATAATCTCACAAACCTCAGAGGCATAGAAAGACCATTCAGAAAATAGATCTTTGCAAAGATAATGCTCCTGGCTGTTCTCTGCTGGAGTTCCTGTAATCACCAGCCAGTGGCCAAGTTACTTTGTCTGCTTTATCCTTTTGCAGTCCTGCAGGGATCTTTGTGAGTTCAGTGTTTCCATCCCCAGCTCTAGAAAGGAGAGGGACGGGGGTGTGTGTGTGGGGGGGATGGTCTGGGCTTTGAAGCTCCTCCCTCCCCCGGCCCCCTCCCAGGCCTGGTTCTTCCAGGATCCCCCACGCTTGTGCATGTTGATACTGTGTTCGTCGTCTCAAACGAGGATCCCTCGATGGCATCCCAGTCACGCGGGAGAGGAAGCTGAGGCCCAGAGAGGTCACTGGTCCTGCCCAGGGCCGCATGGCTGTGGGGGGCTGTGAAGGTCCCGGCCCCACATGCCCAGCCCGGGCCCCTCCCCCACACCGCAGCTGCGCCCCTGCCTTCCCTGTCCTGTTTCTGCCTGGCATCTGGTGCTGGCCGAGCTGCATGGGGCTGTTGGGGTTCCCCTGGCAGCAGTGGGGCCACAGCCTCCCGAGGGCGGGCCTGTGAAATCCCCCTGGGTTCCGGCTCTAAGTCTGCACTCTTGGGGCCTCTGGGCGGGCGCATGTCTGCGGTTCCCCTGCGGGAACCTAGACGCGGATTTACTCTGACGGTCCGTCCCCAGGCCGACCGGGAGCGTGGGGCGTGCGGAGCGCAACGGGCGGCTTTCTCACTAATCAAAAGGCACCAGTCCTGGGCGCCTGGGCGGCTCAGTTCTTTAAGCGTTTGCCTTCGGCTCAGGTCATGATCCCGGGGTCCTGGGGTCCAGTCCCGTATCGGGCTCCCTCCCGGGGAGTCTGCTTCTCCCTCTGACCCTCTCCCCCTTCATGCTCTCTCTCTCAAATAAATAAATTAAAAAAAAAAAAAAAAGAAAGAAAGAAAGGCACCAGTCCTGATGCTGATGCTGGGGGGGAAGGGGGGCACTTTCGGGTTTCCCGTCCCTCTTGGGGGAGAAGCTGTGATTCCCAGACCGACGTGGAAGCTTGGTCCAGCGCAGAGTCCGCGCGGCTCTCCTCCTCCAGGGATCCCGGAGAGCCCACGGTTGTGGCTCGGCGCCTTCCCGGCCGCTGCCAACCGCGGGGTGCTGGCCGGGGCCTCGCGCATCAGGCGTACCTGTACCCCCCACGCTGCTGATCTTCGAGGGTGGACGGGGTTTGCAGGCGTGCGACGTGTTGCTGCTGAGCCCGCTCAACGCACACCCCTTCTTTCTCTCTCTCTTCCAGCCTGCAGGTGCTGCTGCCACAAGCCATGTGAACCTCAGGTAAGTTGCTGCTTCCCTGGGGGCCGTGCCCCCGCCGTGGCCTGGGCTGTGGCTTCTGCCGCCTTGGCCTGTGGCCGTGGGCGTGGAACACACGAGAAACAGGCTGCTAGATGCCTCGATGGGATGTACACGTTTCATCTCGGGAGTAAGCCGAAGAGCTGTGCGCTCTGTGCTCTTAACCGTAGAACGTGACGCTCAAGAATCTGGTTTCAGATAAGAATGCAGTGACCGGCCCTCCCCCCGGCCCCCTGCAGATGCCCCCTCCTCTCTCATGATTGTATCATCAGGTCGGGGTGGCGTAGGCCTAGCGTTCAGGGCACATGGCTTGAGGATTTGGGGGGCTTCGTGTTAGGGTAGTTGTTCTTAGATTGGCGGGGTTGTCAGGCTGTCATGGAAGTCGGGGCCCTGAATTGGGAAGGTCGTCCTGGTGTTTGAGTTCCTTGGAGGGGCTACATTGCCGAGGGCCCCCAGAAGCGCTGGAGGCCTGGGGTGCTTGGTGGGGGTTAGGACTTTGATCAGTGAGGTGGTGAGGAGGCCTGGCCCTGGCAAGTGGGCAGTTGGGGGAACCGCGGGACGGAGGCCTGGGGTTCTGCCCCCGTCACAGTGTCCGTACCTCTCGCATTTTCCCGTAGCGCATGCCTCGAGCCTCTGACTGGCCGGCCCTGCCTCAGAGGGAGCCCCTCACATATCCTGCAGGCCACCCCCGTGGCAGACGGGGTTTTAGAGAGTCTTGGGATTTGGTTGCTGCCGTGCACTTCCTGGGTCAGCTATCGCTGAGAATTTCCGACCGGCTCTGGGCTCTGGGCTCTGAGCAGACGTGTGTGCTGGGGGCATGCTCCGTGCGCTGCGAGCTGGCTCCTACGGTGGGTCCTGTGTGTGGGGACCGGGGATCCTGAATCCCTCCACCCTCCCCACCACGCACGCACGCAGTTTATTACCCCCATGCACACACACACTTCACACACAGACACGCACACGTGTACACCCAGTCGGCGAGAACTGCGGGCCAGTCCGGCCATAGGTGTTTTCTCAAGAAAGAGATTACATGCCTTTTCTTTTTAAACTCCCCACGATGGGGGATTTGGAACTCAGGAGAAGCGCACCGTGCAGTACAGGGCCCCATGCAGCGCTGTCACCCAGCCCCGCGGCCGGCAACCCTCCCGCCGTCCCCTCCGAAGCCCTGGGTCCCCTGCCTCTCCGAGATGTCACGGGATGTGCGTTTGAGCTGCTTTAGGAGCAGGCGCCCGTGGGGGGGCTTCGGGCATGTCTGCTTGCTTTCTGGTCTCACTCTGGAGGAGCCCCCTTTCTGGCTGAGGCCAGGTGTTCCTTGCTCGGACACACTCGGGGGCGGGGAAGGGGCTCGTTTCCGGCCTTGGCTTATCCTCGTTCTGCTTCGCCTGCGAATACGCTCCTCTCTCACGCGTGCACTGTGCTTCTGAGTGGTTGTGTTAGAGCACAGAATTTTCTGGATTTCCAGGAGGGTCCCCCCGCGCCCACGCCGGGAGGGTTGAGACGTGTGTGGCCGGCCTGGCCGCTCCTGGCTGGCAGCGGAGAACTGAGCCGCCTGCTGTTGCCACCGTGTGTTAAAGGGGGGCCCAGAGCCGGCTCCTTAGAGGATTGAATTTTTTGGCTCCAAGAGTATTCCAGAAGTCTTAGCTATCGCCGGTGATGGCATTTCTGGCCACGGTAATTGGCATTTTGCTGAGAGGTAGATAAGCGTTTTCAGTAGATCGGGGTTGGGGGAAATGGATCCGCATTCATTTTTCTCGATAACCCAGCTTCGAGCGGCAGGAGAGAATGCCACCAGCAATAACAAAGCCCCTTCTTATTCCAGAACCATAACACCATGACTGTGGGGTGCAGAAGGGCCATATGTTCCCAGCCACCGCCGGAGATAAGCGGGGGGCAGCTCCGTCTGCCAGGAGCTGAGACGCGGTTCTCGCAGACAGTGTGGGTCCTCGCTTAGCACGTGCGTGTGTAACCCTCAGGCTCCCTCGGTGCCCGGGGTTCGCTGGCTTTCCTGACACACAACCGTGAGGCTTTGGCCCAACGTCCGACCTGGTCCGGCTGCTTACTGACTTGAGGAAGGCGGGCGCTGCAGGTTCCCTCTGGGGCGTCCACGGGCCTGGTGGGGACTCGGAAGGAGTAACCGAGGCCGGGGGTGTGTGGCGCCCTCCCCGCAGCGTGTTCGTGTGCGGTGAACCCCATTGTACTGGGATCGCCAAGGACAGAGACATCCTGCAGAGCCAGGGCCGAGCTAGGGCATGGGGGCTGGGGCTCATGAGGGCAGGGCAGCCGAGTCATGAGCTGGGGCCTCGCTCACCGCCCCGATGGACTGAGGTCACGGTCTTCCTAGTCGACGGGCAGTTCGGCCCCTCAGGTGAGGCCTTGGGCTCAGAGGGCACAGAGAAGCAGAGACCCGGGCCATGATCCCCGTGGGGGCTCCTCGTCTGCTGCACAAGTCCCTGGGGCTCCGGTTTCTTTATGTGTGAAATGGGTGAGTGATCCGTCCACAGTCTGACGTGAAGACAGCTTTCTCTTAGCTGTTAATTATGGTAATCTTGATTATTTAGGTTTTAAGGAAGGCAAATTATTTAGGTGTAATGGCTGGGGAGTTTGGGATTGCAAATATTTTGCTCTCTGGGAGGCCTTGCTGGCTCGCTGGAGCCTCGTGAGCTGCCTGGGTGGCGTGAGCTGGCTTTTCCGGGCTGCCGGCTGACTCACGGGCACGAGCCACGGGAAGTAGGAGAAAGCCGTGGCAGGGAGGCGGGCGATGGGGTCCCTGGTGGGGCCCCCCAAATATGGCAGAGGCGGGGTCCCGGTGGGCTTTGGCGAGCGGGCGGGAGCTCTGCAGAAGTGGGAGTCTGCACCCGCCGCTCCACGCCCCAGGCACGGTCCTTCCACGTCGGCCCAGACCGCACATCTGTTCTTAGAGGAGCCGTCGGTCAGGGGTTGACGTGTTCAAGAGCACATGTCATGCCGATCGCCAGATAGGGTGTTTTGTTTTTTGTAAACGTAAGGCCCCCACGTAGGGACTGAGCAGTGAGTTGGTGAAGCCGGAACCCACCTGCGGTGGTATGGAGCTGTCATCTTGTGGAGGGTCCCCACGCCGGGCTCACCCTGAGCTCCTGCCCTCTGCTCCGAAGTCAGGGCTCTGTCCTCAGGCCCCTTTGTCCCTTGCACGACGTGGATGCCCAGCTCGCCTCTTCTCTTCTGGGTGTGCCTCGATGGGTGCCTCGCTGGAGACAAAGCACGGGACCCCAGGGCTGCCTCCCTCGGTGAGGCGGGAGCCCCCTTCGGGAGAGGAGGGGGTCCCGGGCGGCTGCAGGGGCCTCTGTTTGCTCTGTCCCCGTGTGACTGTCACGTGGTGGCCAAGCTGGGAACCTTCAAACCTCCCGACAGAAGCCGAGCTGTGATGGGCACGCCGTTCCTCTCTCTGAAGGTTGAGGTGCGGCCAGGCGGGGCCCCCCAGAGCCTCTCCCACGTCTGGGCCCCGGGCAGCGTCAGCCCCTCCTGCTGCCACCTCTGCTGGCCTCGCGCGCCGGTGACCCCCGAGTTCTGGCTGTGTTTGGTGCAGGAGCCGCAGTGACCCGCCGGAGACTGTGTCTTCTATAGAGGTGGCCCCTCTGCCACGAGGCCCAGAGCCTGCGGCATCCTCAGACCCACCACAGACGCGGGTCCTGGTGACAGCCGACGCCCACTGGCGTAAGAGGAGTTTTAGCCAGGAGCTTACGTCTGCTGGTTCCCCCGGATCTCCAGACAGCTCTCTTCTCCATGGTGTCCCACGTGTGGGCCGTCGGCCCCTCCCCGCATCGGTCTAGCAAACGGGGACTGTTACAGGGCCCCTGCGTCCCAGCGGTCAGGGGCATCAGGTTTCAGAGTCCAGGTCTGTGCGGGCTTCGTGCGTCCACCGTGGGGCCGGGGCCGGAATGTGCGCCTGCCACCCCTGCTCTGAAGCCTCCAAACCCCCCAGCTCGTGCCCTTCTGCCCCTTTCCCAGGCTGGAGCCCGCGGCCCACCCCACTCTGTGTCTGTGTCTGCACTGGGAAGGATGCCCGAGGGCCCTGGACCCACCAGCCCCTCCCAGGGTCCTTCTGCCCCCGAGTGAGCCGCAGCTTCTTGGCATCACTCAGGCTCCTCAGAATTCCCTTGGAAATGCCGGCAGAGCTGGGAGCGCGTTTCCGGGACTTCGCTGGTGGCAGGCCTCCAGGCCTTGGGGGACGGCTTGGTTTGTGATGAATCCGAGCATCGTGGGCGTGAGCCTGTGGTGAGGTTCCTGCTTCTGCCTCGGTCACTGGTTTTGCCTGCAACACGAGCTGGGAGCCTGCGGATCAGTTCAAGCAAGCCGGCTCGCCGAGGCACCTGCCGCCCGGCACCCTGGGGGTGGTGCCCCCCGACTTCGTGCAGCCCTGCTCCGATGGCAGAGCGAGGGCACCCGCGAATAGGAGACTCCTCCGTTCCGCACAGACGTCCCTCTCGTGACGAGGGTAGCAGATGCGCGAGCATGCAGGTGCCCGATGAGGCGCGGGGGACGGGATGCTGAGGCCGGGCTGCCCCGGGGCCAGGCTCGAATGTGGACAAAACCAAGAAGGAGCGCTTGGTGAATAATTTTCTTCTCTCGAGTGTTAGTGACGGGAATCACCGCTCCCTGAAACTGCACTGGGGATGCCTTTGCTCACGCCTGCCCTCCCTCTGGGAGAACCGGAGACAGTGGAACTTTCCAGGCGTAGCTGTCGGAAGCAGCCCGTGAGAATGTAGGGCAAGGACACCGGGATCTGAGCTCGACGGCCCCGTGGTCGCCACAGGCGCTCGGGCCTTCATTTCTTTCTCTACGAAGTCAGAACACAGACGTCTTCCGTGAGGGGCTCCGAGAACCCGGCTCAGCAGCTGGAGTGAGCCCGGGCCCGGGGCTTCTGGAGGGAGCATCCCCTCCTCGGGATGACTTGCATCCTGCATCCTCGGGGCCAGCACATTTCTCTGGAGACTTCTACCTGCAGTCAG